AAAACATTTTTTTTTTTTTTTTTTTTCCAGTTCTGCATCTTTCCTGAAAATATCCGGGCCTGACCCTCAGTTATCTTGAGATCCCAGCCTTGCCCGGGGCACGGGGCCGCACAGCTGGGAAATGGACATTCCTTCTCCCAGGGACAAGGCAGTGACCTCCTCGGTAAATGAAACTCATGCCCTCTATCTTCAAAAGTGCTCCAGTGCTGACAGTAGGAAGCCTCTCTCCTGCACTGGCTAACGTCTGACTCAAAGGGCTCTACATCCCATTAATTCCACATGCAGTTCTTTTTTTTTTTTTAATCTTTTTTCTTCTTTTTTTTTTTTTTCCTTTTTTCCTTTTTTTTTTTTTTAAACAAGGCAACTTAAAATTCAGAAGCTACATACTGTCTTTATATTTTGCTCAGAAATCAATGGATGTTGCATGCAGCTGAAATATTAGTAGAGACTCTGACTTAGATAAATGTCAGTTTTCTAAGACCCGCTAGTCAAAGGCAGAAAAAGAAATTAAGAGGCCTCTTGTGCAAAAGGAGTTCAAATACGCATGCAGCAATGGCCGTGACCAATTAGAATATAACTTAGGTCTCCAAACACTGAAACTGAAGCTTTATTTGGCTTAAGACAATGGTTGAGCTCTATACCTTTATAAATTACAATGTATATGCAACAATAAAGGAATCATCTCAACACAGCATCAGCTGGTGTTCTGGCCTGTAGAGAGACTAATCTTCCAACACAAAAGCCTGCTCAGCAATAAATGGTTTTTCATATTTAACAAAGACAGCAGCACACTGGGCTGGCTACCAGGGCTTACAAAAGAGAAGAAAGCAGGTTTTCAAACTAACATCTAACTAACATCAGGCTTGGTTTTTCCCCTTGGACATCCTGTTTTTCCATCAGTGCTGTGTTCCTCTCCTTTCCACTAACCTGTATGGAAACAGCACGTTGGGCCCTGCCCCATCCCCTCCCGGAGACACGTCTCGAAAGCAGATTTGATTAATAGTAGAAACAAAAATCTCCCCTAACTGCACTTGGAAAGGATAGTCAGTTCCTCCGACCTGCCAACATTTACCATGAACAAGCAAATTACAATGTATTTCAGACATGAACTACAGGGACTAAAATCAAATCTCTCTCCTGTTTAACTATAATATTAAATAATACGTAACGCCTTCACTCGTAATAGTCTGAAGTCTGGACGTAAGACAGCTAGTAAGGAAAAAACAGCTGGGGCCGAATCTGTTCCTGGGGAATGAATTTGGCCCAGCTGATCTGAAAAACAAACAAACAAACAAAAAAAACCCCTAAGTTTACCAAGAGGAAAATAAATCCAACCACAGGCGGGAGGGTGCGCGCGCTGGGGAAGTCCCAGCCACGGGCACGGCAAAGCGCGAGGGCTCAGGCGCTGCCGTCTCCAGTCCTTTCCTTGCGAGCCTGGATCATCTCCTTGGGAGCCTGCTTGCGGTCAGTGACCAACCCCAACCAAAACATGAAGTCAATGAACCAGGTGGTGGGGTTGAACTTCAGGCCCAGCTCGCTGGCCGAGTAGTCGAAGGGGAAGGTGTGGTGGTAATTGTGGAAACCCTCACCTGAAAAACAAGAGAGTTTAAGAGACCACGTGGCCGTCGCCTTTTATGAATTTCGGAACGCTCTCGGGTGGGACATCCCAACGCCTGTTTCCCAACTCCTCAATCTAGGGCAGGTTCTGCTCCACCCCTGGATGTGGGAGAACCTCTGGGGCAAAGGCACAATTTCAGCGCTTTGGGCTTTCCTCCCCAGTAGGAAAAGGGCATGTCCCCCCGCTTACACTCAGGAAAGAAAACCACAAGAGGGGAGATGCACAACCAAGCAAGAAGCAGAGTCACTTACTTCTGCTGTGCTCTCCCAGAGGGGGATTAGCAATCCTAGAGGACTGCTAGCGTGAACGTGTCTCCGCCCAGAGACTACAAGGCATTATTTCAATGTGGGCACCACCAGTAGAAGAAGGCACCCTTCCTCTAGGACGTGTGAGCTCCAGCCTCCTGCAAGCCCTACCTCCAAGTGGTGTCCAGCTGTAGGTGCTCAAAGCCCCCACCGGCGTGAAATAGGACGGGATCATAGAATCATAGAATTGCCCAGGCCGGAAGGGACCTTCAAGGTCATCTAGTCCGACCTCCCCGCAGTCAGCAGGGACACCCCCAACTAGACCAGGTTGCCCAGGGCCTCATCGAGCCTCTCCTTGAATATCTCCAGGGAAGGGGCCTCAACCACCTCCCTGGGCAACCTGTCCCAGTGCTCCACCACCCTCACAGTGAAGAACCCTCTCCTCATCTCCACTCTAAATCTGTTCCCCTCCAGCTTGAAGCCATTGCCCCTCGTCCTGTCACTGCAGGCCTTTCTAAACAGGTTCTCCCCAGCCTTCCTGTAGGCCCCTTCAGGGACTGGAAGGCTGCTATTAGGTCTCCCCGGAGCCTCCTCTTCTCCAGGCTGAACAACCCCAGCTCCCTCAGCCTGTCCTCGTAGCAGAGCTGCTCCATCCCCCTGATCATCCTTGTGGCCCTCCTCTGGACCCTCTCCATCAGGTCCATGTCCTTCCTATACTGAGGGCTCCAGACCTGCACACAAGACTCCAGGTGAGGTCTCACCAGAGCAGAGTAAAGTGGCAGAATCCCCTCTCTGGACCTGCTGGCAACACTTCTTTTGATGCAGCCCAGGATGGGATTGGCCTTCTGGGCTGCAAGTGCCCACTGCCTGCTCATGTCCAGCTTCTCCTCCACCAGCACCCCCAAGTCCCTTTCCTCAGGGCTGCTTTCCAATACCTCTCCCCTTAGTTTGTATTGGTGGCGAGGACTGTTCTGGCCCAGGTGCATGTCCCTCTTGAGTTGGCAAAGCTCTAGCCAGGGCTGCAGCACTCACCGATGGCTCCCAGGGTGACGAAGGTATTCTGCCGGGGGTTGATGTTCTTGTCGTAGGGACGGTTGCCGTACATGTGAGCGGCACTGTTGACCAGCCAGGTGACGTTGAGGGAGATGGTGTACCGGAGGATGGAGGCCAGGAAGTAGGCATTCCACAGGCTCTCACCCCAGAGGTACCACGGCACAAAAGTAGGGATCACGAAGCACATCAGCACAACCGAACTCTTGTAATACCTACGGGGAGAGGAAAAGACACCCTCACCGCGGTGGAAATGACGGCTGGGGTGGAGAGGGTTTGCATCTCTGGAGACATGGCTCTGCTAGAAAGCCCTGGCATAACCTGGACCAGCCCCATAACCAGGGCAACAAGGAACATTTCAGACAACTGCAATCATAACCAAATTTTTCCAAGTGCAATTGAAAATGCCGAGACAAACCGAAACCCCAGAGCAGCAGGTGACACGGGAGCTGAAGAGCTGAGACCCAGTCCCAAAGCAAACCTCCCAAGCTGAGCACCTTTCAGCCTGGGGAAGCACAGATCTGCCTGCACACCCTGTGCCCAGGGCTCCGCTCCAGGACTAGAAAAGCCCAGGGCTTGGTGTGACTTTAGGGGAGCTGTGTATCAGAAACACGAATCTCAGAATCTTCATGGTTGGAAGGGACCTCTGAGATCATCGAGTCCAACCACAAAAAAAAAACAAAAACAAAAACAGAAAAACCACCACCACATCCACCCACAGACACAACCCAACAATCTTGGGCACTAGACCATGCCCTCAAGTGCCACGTCTACACGCTTCTGAAACCCCTCCAGGGATGGTGACTCCACCACCTCCCTGGGCAGGCCCTTCCAGGGCCTGACCACCCTCTCAGGAAAGACATTCTTCCTCAGATCTCTTCTAAACCTCTCCTGCCCCAACTTCAGACCATTGCCTCTGCTCCTCTCATGATTCCCTTGGGAGAAGAGGCCAACCCCCACCTCTCTACACCCTCCTTTCAGGGAGCTGGAGAGGGCAAGGTGGTCTACCCCTCAGCCTCCTCTTCTCCAAACTAAACGTGCCCAGTTCCCTCAGCCTCTCCTCGTAGGACTTGTTCTCCAGACCCCTCCCCAGCTTGGTGGCTCTCCTCTGGACACGCTCCAGCCCCTCAATGTCCTTCCTGTGGTGAGGGGCCCAGAACTGAACCCAGCCCTCGAGGGGAGGCCTCACCAGTGCCCAGTCCAGAGGCACCATCACTGCCCTGCTCCTGCTGGCCACGCTGCTCCTGACACAGGCCAGGATGCTGGTGGCCTTCTTGGCCACCTGGGCACGCTGAAGAACCCGTGGTGAAAGCAGTGTGGTTCCCCAAGCATCTATTGAGGCATTGGTTCGCCTAAACTCCAGGTAAGGGGGTTTCTCATGCCAGGATGGATGTTTCAGTCAAAGGGAGACAGAGGAGATGTAGCTGCGGTGCTTGTTCAGATATGAGACCTTACACCTTCACAGAAGACTTCACTCTGGGCTTCTTGCATCTCACAGAAAGGATTAAATTGGTGCCTGATAATATTTTATTTTATTTTCCTGGAACAGTTGCCCCAGGGGAGGTTCAGGCTGGATATTAGGAAAAATTTTTTCACTGAAAGGGTTCTCAGCCATTGGAATGGGCTGCCCAGGGAGGTGGTTGAGGCCCCATCCCTGGAGGTGTTCAAAAGCCGGGTTGATGTAGTGCTGGGAGGTCTGGTTTAGTGATGATGCTCCTTGTTTGTTGTGTGGGTGTCTATTTTTGTCAGTTAGGTTGACGGTTGGACAAGATGATCTTTAAGGTCCCTTCCAACCTAGAAGATTCTGTGATTCTGTAATAAAGACTGAGCCACAACTAAACAGCCAGGTGGAGGGACCTCTCCCTCCTCCCCTTGCACAAGGGCCCAGCATTCCCACTTACTTTCTTTGGAACCTGACGACGGGGTCGTCCAGCAGGTCGCTGAAATCCAGTTTCCTCCCCTTCTCTATGACGTCCCGGTGCTTGCGCACGAAGAGCCAGCCGATGTGGGAGAAGAAGAAGCCGCGGCGGGCGTTGTGTGGGTCCGCGTCCGTCTCCGAGTACTTGTGGTGCACGCGGTGGTCCCGGCTCCACTCGTAGATGTCATTCTGCACAGAAAAGGTGGAGGGGTGAGGGGAGGCCAAATCGCTTCTCCGGCACTACCACCTCCTGTTCTTTCCCCACACAGCAACAAGCCCCTCTCCTCAAAAAAAAGAAGGTTATTGACTAAAGACATCCTGAGGGACCCCAGCTTTGGAGACAGACTGCACACATCTCAGGGATGGAGATGGCTGAAGACAACAGCCTCTTGGGAGTTACAGTCATCAGTATGCCCTGGTCCTGTGTCCTCCCCGGGTGTTCGCTGGCCGAGGATGGACATGGGTTTGGAGGGATGAGGTACATCCATGTTAACATCGTTAGTTTATGACCCTGCATGTTTATTTTCAGGGCACTACTGTGCAGAGGCACTCAGTCCTGGCACCCTTTCTCTGAGCTTGCTGTGGTCAGTGACCACCGATGCCCTCCAGGCACAAACGCAGCACCGAAAATGGGGCAGAGCTTGTGGAACACCACACGTGCCTTTTCCTGAGCTCGTTTAGCCTTTTGGAAGGACCCATCTTCCACAGTAAAACCAGCACCTCCATTTCAATTACTGCTCTGTCTCCAGGGACATGTACAAGAGCACGGCCTTCCAGCACTTAAAGGGGGCCTACAGGAAGGACGGGGAGGAACTGTTTATCAGGGAATCTAGTGATAGGACGAGGGATAGTAGTTTTAAACAGGGTAGATTTAAATTAGGTATTAGGAAGAAATTCCTTACTGTGAGGGTGGTGAGACCCTGGCCCAGGTTGCCCAGAGAAGCTGTGGCTGCCCCATCCCTGGAGGGGTTCAAGGCCAGGCTGGATGGGGCTTGGAGCAACCTGGTCTGGTGGGAGGTGTCCCTGCCCAGGGCAGGGGGGTTGGGACTCGATGATCTTTGAGGTCCCTTCCAACCCAAACCATCCTACGATTAAGGTATCAAAGGAAATTTGCCAATTTTATGGCAAATCATCTGCAGCCAGGCCGGAATAAAATTCTCAGCCCCATAACATCGGCTGCGTATTGGATCCAGATCAGACATAAAGCAAGTTCAGCCCTGTCTCTGGCCAAGCTGTCAGCAGGTATGGGTCACTGAGATGCCTTATGGCTGTAAGTGGGATTAGGTGGATTGTAAATGGGCTTGTAAAGGGGATTAGGTGGATCCCAGGAAGGGATGGGCTGCAGTTTCAGACTTGGATCCGTAAAGTGAGACCTTCTGAGTTTACTCAGCCACAGGGCTTTCAGCCTCCCAGTTTCTCTGCAGGATGCACCAGCCATTGGACTAAACTGGTGGGTTTTGCAGTGGTGCCAAGCTATTAGTGCAGGGCATCGTGAGCGTATGTAACATGAGAATCATAGAATGGTTTGGGTTGGAAGGGACCTTAAAGATCATCCAGTTCCAACCCCTCTGCCATGGGCAGGGACACTTCCCACTACACCAGGTTGCCCAAAGCCCTATCCAGCTTGGATAGGCTTTTTTGAAAAAAAAACATTTGCAAAACTCAGGCCACACACTCACCTATGAATTGAATTGCCCCAAACCAGCACCAAAACGTGGAAACATGAGCTAATACCCAGATCCACAACAGCATGGACTTTAATCAGAGAATGCTTAGCGGACTGTGCTTCCCTCTGCTATTTCCATCTTTGCACAGCCAGGGAGGTGCCCAAGCAGTAAAACCCAAAGGAAGAAGAGTTTGGGTTACTTTTAGGAACGGCAGTAGCACCCACAGCCACCAAGCACAGCAGCCTTGCTCCCAGCAGGAGTGCAGCAGCCATCGTTGAGACAAAAGCCCTAGGCTGAAATCATTGCAGAAAATCACTGCTCTTTCTCTCAGCTGCCAACATTTGAGAGAGAGCACTGAGGTGCTGCTGGGGGAGCTCCAGGAACGACTTCAAAGAGCAAAAGAATCCAGCTCCAATGGCTCCACGTCTGATTTCAGCCTTGCAAGAGGCTTTCTGTTTGCCAGAGCCCACAGGGGATGGGACAAAGAAGAAAAGACCCGGAAAGATCTCAGCCCTGCACTGTTGTCACGCCGTGGCCACGGTGACACTGGAAGTGGGTGGGCTGGGGAGGAGGGGAACGTTTTTTCTGCAGCACTCACTCATCTAAGATATGGAGGGGAGGCTGCAAAGCCCAGCCCCTTACCAGTGCTCCAGGAAACTATCCCATTGCACAAACGAACAATGTAAACCGAGTGAAGCAGAGGAAGTCACAAAACTCCTCGGTGAGGACAAGGGGAGGTCTTTACCCTGCTGCCACCTTCTTTTTTTCCTGCAGAGAAATCAAAAGGAATGAAAGGCTCTACACTGCTTCAAGTGGCTTCAGCAGGAATACTCAGAAGACTGGAAGATGCCACAATTAAGTACTTTAAAAATAAAACAGGGTTATGCAAGAAGCACACCTAGGAAAGGTCCTCTTTCTTCACCAGAAATAATTCTTGAAGTGAGACTGCTGATCAGTTTGTCACAAGAGCATTTGATAAAATTATTTGTGGGACAGCAGATAACCAGGTCACAGCAATGATACTGTGAGAAATTAATTTTTTTTTTTTTTTTTTTATACCATAGCAAACACCTGCAGGGCTAGCAAAAACCATCATCGCCCAGATGAAATGGTTAGAAAGCTGTAAAACAACTGAATTGCATCTAATTAAAAACCACAAAGACTAAGAGGAAATGGCCAGAGCTAGAACTGCTGGCAATAAATACACCAAGAACTGGAGTGTAAATATGCTACAAGCATATTAATAGCAACCATTTTTCAGGAAGACATCACTCTTGATCAAGTTTCAGGTAAATGCAGGAGTGAAATCCCTTCCAAAGCAGAGAGTAACAGCATCAAGCTGGGACAGTGATGCAGTCGTGAGGTTCCATTAGCAGGTGCCTTAATAAACCTGCAGTGACAAACAAATTGGGCTACGTAACAACCAACCTCAGTGTGCTGACACGAATTTCCAAGCAGTCACAGTCTCACAGAGATGGACAGCAACAACGGTCCAACGCGGTGTCAGCAGAGGAGACACCCGCAGGTCCCAAACGAGATGCTGAAACTTAAACACCAGGAGACCAAGTAGACATAAGTCAGGTATTACCTATTTCTGAAAGACATGGGACATATTTCTGAAACAAGACATGTGACAGCAAGAAGCACAGTCTTCCAAACTGTGAACTCTTCAATCTAGATGGAGAGAAGAACCCCACCTCAGCATGCCCCAATCACAAAAAAACGCACCAGGCAACAGAGCAAAAATGGCTGCATCTGATGGTATTTCAGCATGTTCCAGCCCAGGCAGCACCCACTGAAAACTCATCAGCAGACTTTCCCCAGCTCTTCAAGAAGTCTGAGTTATTTCCTCAGCATTCAGAGACGCTATAGGTATCTCCAATCCTACCTCTCCTCCCAAAGCCAACATGAAGGAGATGAACATGAAAACTCATTTACTGTCTGGTTGTGGTGGTGAGAACAGCCTGTAGCAGGCAATGGATGTCACAGTAATTAGCAGCAGGCTTCAGACTACTTATGACTCCGAGTGGGTGATTTGGCCTTTTGTTTTCTTTCTGGCATGAAGGGCACAAAGGTGTCTTGAAGCTACTTTGAATTACTTCCTGCCTCAGAATCACACCATGTCCTCAGCCAAAAGCAGTGATGAGGCCAATGCAGCTGAGAGCAACATCCGTAGCAACACGGGAGCAGAATGCAATGAAATCCCAGCATGCAGGCCCACTGCAACCAGCTCCACACAGTCACTGAAACCACTCATGAAAGAGGAGATCGGCTCTAAAACAGGAAGACAGTACCAGGGAGCTCTCAAAACTCAACCCGGTTTTAACACGCTGAGCAAAGGGCTCACAAAGCTCTGCAAGGAACCGAGCAGCACAAAGCAGCTGGAATATGGGTCAGAACAAAGGAAGGTTACAGCCAAAATGGACATATTCCCATATTCAAGGAAAAGAATGTCTAGAGGGGATTAACAAGATTAATTCTTTCCATCGTAAAAAAAAAAAACCTGATAAATTTAAGATGATAAATAAAGAGCACAGAAGTGGATAAAGGGACTCCTTTCATCCTCTGTCAAGGCACTTGAACGAGAAGTCAACCAACCAGACCGAAGGGAAAAAGCTGAAATCTCAAGGCACAACACACTTGTGGTACTTGGTGCCACAAGGGGTTACAGCAGCCAGGCTCAATGCCTGTCCCAGCCAGTGCTGGGGATACCATTGCTGGCTTCTTCTCCAAGAAACAGAGACTAGAACAGACAAAATCAAAATGTATTGGACGTGGCTACATCTATAAATCCCTTTATGTCAGTGCTGTCTGCGCTAGTGCTCTCCACAGGGTGAAGGAAATAATGCTCTTCTCTTTAAGAAGGGGAATACAACCAGCCTTTGCTTCTTGAATGGCACAAAGAGCCAGGCAGAAAGTGGAAAAGCCTCACGTGCACAAGTCTGGGATTTGCCAATGATCATTTTCAGCACAGGTATCAGTCCCTTGTTTAACTGGTAAAAACTGCTGCATAAAATCAGGATCCTGAAAGGATGCCTGCACTCCTTTCTGGGTAGGGCAAAACCTCCCACTGCCTGCAAAGACAAAGAGATTGACATACTTCATCCAGTTGGCCCTTACAAAAGTTTCCACGTTGTCCTGTGAAGTGTGGGGCCTGACCTGTAGCGCAGACAGGCTGCTGGGGTGCTGAGCCCCTTAGGTGGGCACTTTCAAAATGGTCCTTAAGGAATTATTGCTCCTAGACTGTCTAATGTATAATGTCAGGTGGGTGGTGAGAGGGGCTCTGCATCCCCTGAGCCAAAGAGTGTGTTACCAGCAAACGTCTTTCTGCCAATATTATTTTTTTTTTTTTTCTTGCTTCCTTTTTCTTTTGCTGTCTCTAAGCTGAGGAGCACAGGAGAGAAAGCTGCCTGGAGGCCAAGAATCCGGATGGGCAACTCCAACCCCACCTGGAAAGCCATGGAGTTAGCTGCAGCCAGAAAGATCCTCAAAGGCAGCTTGGCTTTGTAGGAACGGTGGCTCCACAGGCGATGCGCGCCCGCCGTCACGCCCAGGGCTGTCATCAGGAAACAGAAGTAGGCTGAAAGACACAAAAACAAAACCATTGGAAGAGCCAGGGGCCAACTGCCATTATTTTGTGCTTTCTTTGATGTAAAGATGGCCAGTGGGTTGCTGGGGGGAGTTTGGGAGCACGGAAGCACCTTTACACAGTGTGCAATTTGCCAAGTACAGCGGAGTGGAAATTCATGGCTCATGTCAGAAGAGTAGCAACAACTCTTCTAACAGGACACTGCTGGCCTCCTCCGAGCAGACCTTTGCTGGAGTCTGATCTGCCAGCTAGAAGCCCCCCCCCCCCCCCCCCCCTAAAGATCCGAGCTGTGTCAGAATTGCCACAATAAAATCTTCTTTTGTCATCGGGAACTCATGACTCGATAACAAAAATGTGCCTGGAAGCAGGGCATGCGCCATCTCCCTCAGTTCAGGAATTGTTTTTCCTTCCCTTAATTAAAAATTTGTCCAAGTAAACATGTTCTGAGCATTTTGTCAGGTGGCCAACACAGCACGGGAGCAGGTCTGCTCCTCACCACACTGGCTCCAGGCTAGACACACAGCCCAAGCACACGCGTCCCGCAGTGTACCCCCATGCTTCAAATAATCCCCACACCAGCCACTACTGCAGCATCACAGAATCACAGAATGGGGTTGGAAGGGACCTCTGGAGATCATCTAGTCCAACCTCCTGCCAAAGCAGGGCCACCCAGAGCAGGTCCCACAGGAACGTGTCCAGGGGGGTTTGAATGTCTCCAGAAAAGGAGACTCCACCACCTCCCTGGGCAGCCTCTGCCACCCTCACCCCAAAGAAGTACCTCCGCATCTTTAGGTGGAGCTTCCTATAGGCAAGTTTGTACCCATTTCTTCTTGTCCCATCCCTGGGCATCACTGAAAAAAGACCAGCCCCATCCTCTTAACACCCACCCTTAAGTATTTATAGGTGTTGATCAGATCTTCCCTCAGCCTTCTCTTCTCCAGACTCAAAAGACCCAAGTCCCTCAGCCTCTCCTCGCAAGGGAGATGCTCCAGGCCCCTCATCATCTCTGTAGCCCTCTGCTGTCCCCTCTCCAGCAGCTCCCTGTCCTTCTGGAACTGGGGAGTCCAGAACTGGTCCCAGTGCTCCAGATGGGGCCTCCCCAGGGCAGAGCAGAGGGGCAGGATGACCTCCCTCCACCTGTTGGTCACACTCTTCCTGATGCCCCCCAGGATGCCATTGGCCTTCTTGGCCCCAAGAGCTTGGCCAAGAGCTGGCTCATGGTCATCCTGTTGTCCACCAGGATTCCCAGGTCTTTCTCCTCAGAGCTGCTCTCCAGCAGGTCCCCCCCAACCTGTCCTGGTGCAGGGGGTTATTCCTCCCCAGGTGCAGCACCCTACACTTGCCCTTGTTGAACTTCACCAGGTTCCTCTCTGCCCAACTCTCCAGCCTGTCCAGGTCTTGATATGACTCTGGTTCTCCTTTCAGCAGGGGCCATGCTCACACATGCCCCAGCAGGTTAGCCTCGCAATTCCAGGGGCAGGGAAAGAGCTGGCTCGGGCAGCAGGATGAGAGAGAGTGGCCCTGGACCTGCCTGCTCAATCTGTGCATCTGTGTGCTGCTTCTCCTTTGATACACTCGTGGTTTTTTCCCTGGTGTATTTGAATTCCTGCATGATGGATGATCTGAGTTGCTTTGACTTGCAGCAAAAGGGGAGAGACTATGGGTTGGAAGAACATAGCATTAGAGCTGTTTCTGCTTTTGGAGAGAAATGGGAGGAAAACCAGGAACAGCTAGGATGAAAGTATTATATGACTCCCAAATAAACAGGACCACTTAAGACTACTCACATCCAAGCTGTCATGATAGACTCTTACATCCAAGCTGTCATGATATATAGACTCTTACATCTCCCTCCCATACGTGGTGATTTCTGATACTGTGCCTGAAGAGTACAGGCTCATTTTACAAGTCTAAAATCAAAACAAGAGGTGATTCAAACAATAAGATTACAGAAACAACCTCAACTGAGTGTGCACCGTCCGAAGGGATGTGCTGTTTAGCCAGGGCTCCCTGCCACCTGACACACGGAGGACTGTTTTGGTTAAAACAGCCCATTTCAAATATATTCAAATAGGCTAGAGTTACTGGAAAAAAAAGGGAAAACCCTATCCCCCAAAGGGGTTTTTCTACTTTTGTCTGTGTACAAACCGCACAACAGCCCGTCCAGCCGGGAACCCTGTTAGACATACAGTGACTAGAAAGGAATTCACCATCAGCTTTTGCCAGCATGTGATGTAAAGCATCTATCTCTGCAAAAAGTAAACAAAATTATGTTGGTTTAGTTGGATGGTTGGACTTGATGATCCCAAGGGTCTCTTCCAACCTGAATGATTCTATGATTCTATGTAGGTGGGTGTCTACTGTGTCCCTCTATCAACTCACAGTGCTCGAAATCACAGCATCTAAGAGAAAATATAATAGAAAGGTATTGGGTAAAATAGCAGCAACCACATTTCAGGTTGTTACCCCTGTGGACCGAAGGAGCAAACGGACCTTACCCACCCCGCTGGTGGATTCATCAGGAACAGACTTACCCAAACCGTGTCACATAATGTACACAAATTCCTGTCATCTCCCACACAGCAAACCAAAGCCTCTCTCCCAAAATGTGAAAATGGTCCCAGAAAAGATGACGCATCTCTAAAACCTTCTTTGGACACCCTTACTGAAGGGACAATTCTTTTTGGCAGGCTGCAGTGTTCAAGTTACCCCCAGAAAAGGCTCAGCTGTGCAGTTAAGTCCAGTGCACTGAATTGTACTGCCAGATTCAGACTTCTTCCTGAAGGGAGGTACAGAAATGAACTGAAAATTATACGTTCTGTCTGCACGTTATTTACAGCTTTTGTTGACTTTACAGATTACTCTCAGATCATTAAAAATGCCGACACCACAACAACTCACACTCCAGTCTCCGCTGCGGTCCTCCATCCCTTGTCAGTAGACTTCTGTGAAATCAGGGAAAGCCTATCACCTCTTCTTCTGTATGTGGTGTTGAGCTGAGCAGAAATATCACTAAATAAGGCCTCCCAAATCACTCAAGTGACTCTAACTGTGGCAACAGGTCTGTGACACGCAGAATACTGACATTATCCAGCCAACATAAAAATATTGAGGTTATAATCCTGAATCATTACAAGAACATATTGTCTGTGGGCTTTATGAGTGGTTAACCCCATGCTAGTCACAGGGGCTGAAATCCCCTGTCTTCTGCAGTCTCTTTGCTTCCTTAAAGCACAAAGAGGAGCTTTTCTCCTGCTTCAAAGCAACAGATCATGTATCTGGCCATGCGCTCCTCAAGGCATCCATCCATCTTAATCACGGTCGATTGCTTAAAACCAGAATTAAAGATAAGTGGGTAGAAGGAGACATATGCAACATTAAGGCTGATTTCACTTTCCTCCTTTGTCCTGTGCAAGACAGAGGCTGAGTGGCAGGTGACATACAGGTCACACGAAATAGCTGCACTGAATACAAGGGATTTGGGCCACTTGATGATTCAGCTCTTACAGAGCTCAGCTTAACAGAGTTGAGCCCACCTCACACCACCAGCACTGCAGCAGAACTTTTGGGAGTCCAGGGACTGCCCTAGGGTCTACATGCTGGGCTGTGTCCACCCCTTTGAACAGCACCTCCCAGCACCATTCCCAGTTCACACTCCCTGGGAAGCCCTGGGCTACAGACGGGAGGAGGACTTACCTGAATGAGAAGCTCAACATGAGCCAGCAGCGCACACTGGCAGCCCAGAGAGCCAACCCCATCCTGGGCTGCATCAAGAGAAGTGTGGCCAGCAGGTCACGGGAGGTGATTCTGCCCCTCTGCTCTGTGCTCGTGAGACCCCACCTGGAGCTCTGTGTCCAGCTCTGGAGTCCTCAGCACAGGAAGGACATGGACCTGTTGGAACGGGTCCAGAGGAGGGCCACGAAGATGCTCAGAGGGCTGGAGCACCTCTGCTGTGAGGACAGGCTGAGAGAGCTGGGGTTGTTCAGCCTGGAGAAGAGAAGGCTCCAAGGAGACCTTATAGCAGCCTTCCAATATCTGAAGGGGCTACAGGAGAGCTGGGGAGGGACTCTTTGTCAGGGAGTGCAGTGACAGGACACGGGGGAACGGTTTTAAATTGGAAGAGGGGAGATTTAGATGAGATACCAGAAAGAAAATCTTTGCTGTGGGGGTGGTGAGACACTGGAACAGGCTGCCCAGAGAAGCTGTGGCTGCCCCATCCCTGGAGGGGTTCAAGGCCAGGCTGGATGGGGCTTGGAGCAACCTGGTCTGGTGGGAGGTGTCCCTGCCCAGGGCAGGGGGGTTGGGACTCAATGATCTTTGAGGTCCCTTCCAACCCAAACCACTCTATGATTCTATGAAACACTTCTGCAGGAGCCCTGGTGCTGCCCAGGCAGCCTCGCAGCCATCAGCCATGGTCAGGAAAGCTCGGCTGTACCTTCAGGAGAGGGACTGACGGGTGTTGTGCCGCAGCAAAAGGGGGCCAGCTTCCGGGGGGGGGCAGCTGGCACACTGGGCTCTCCCAATGGCCACGCTCAGGAACAAGCCAGCTCTCCCCTGCATGCCTTGGCAAGCAGAGAGGCAGAAAGGCCAACCAAGAATGAGCACCAGATTGAGGACATACCCTCAGAGCCCCCCAGAAACATGCCATCCTGCTCAGACGGAGGTTCCCCAGTGGCTTCCCTAGGCCACGACCACGAGCTCCATCCTCTTGCCCTCTCTATCCCCATGCCAGCCCCTGCAGTGATCAGGGTGGCTTACACCCACACAACACTCCTGTTTTTCGGCTTTGCAGAGGAGGAATCACAACAGCAGGAATTTTCCTAATATAAATCACAGAATCACAGAATCTTCTAGGTTGGAAGGGACCTTAAAGATCATCTTGTCCAACCGTCAACCTAACTGACAAAAATAGACACCCACACAACAAACAAGGAGCATCATCACTAGACCAGACCTCCCAGCACTACATCAACCCATCTTTTGAACACCTC